GTCACGTCACTGGGGCCTGGTGCCGAAGGGCTGGTACGTGCCTGCTGTGGGACTTGAGGGGCTCCCGGCCATCCCTGGGGAGGTGGAGGGTGATGGGGATGGTCACAGGTGGTGATGCAGCTCTGTGGGGCTGGTCACAGCTTGTGGGGACAGTCACAGCTCCATGGGAACAATGACAGCCTCATGGGGCTGGCAACACCTCCATGAGGCCACTGAAAGCTCTGTGGGGACAACAACAGCTCCATGGGGCCCATGACAGCTCCAGGGGTTGTGTGGGACCTGGGCAGAGGGAATGATGGGACCATGGGGTGGTGGCTCAGTGGGTCTCATCCTTCCTCTCCCCCCAGCACCCCTTCATGGAGCTGAGGGTGCTGGAGAACAATAAGCGCTCGCGCCGCAACCTGGGGCTGGATTGTGACGAGCACTCGACTGAGTCGCGCTGCTGCCGCTACCCCCTGACCGTGGACTTCGAGGCCTTCGGCTGGGACTGGATCATCGCACCCAAGAGGTACAAAGCCAACTACTGCTCGGGGCAGTGTGAGTACATGTTCATGCAGAAGTACCCGCACACCCACCTCGTGCAACAGGCCAACCCGCGCGGCTCGGCCGGGCCCTGCTGCACCCCTACCAAGATGTCCCCCATCAACATGCTCTACTTCAATGACAAGCAGCAGATCATCTACGGCAAGATCCCGGGCATGGTAGTGGACAGATGTGGATGCTCTTAGAACCGGTGCTGCTGCCCCGCACCCCCCCCACCTCTGAACCTGCCTCATTCCTGCCACTATTGTGGGGGTGGGAGTTTGGGGGGTTTCTTTTTGCTATTTTCTTTTCGAAATACAAAGAACAAGCGTTGAGGTTCCTTTGGATGTTGGGGCAAGAGGACAGAGACGCAGAGAGATGGAAACCCCGCGGAGAAACACTGCAGCAACCCCATGATTCGACTTGCATTGTGCAATAACGCAACCGGATGGAGAAGGGAAGGGGCGGCGCGGAGCCCTGGCATGGCTCCACGGCGATAGGGAGAGGAGGAAGCCACTGCATCCCGCACCTCCGGAGCACCAGTGGGGATGGGGACGCCCCTGCCAACCCCAGGGCCATGGTGACAGCTGAGGATGGGAGAAGCCAGCAGTGGGATCCCCGGGATGGGCCCGTTGGGCTCTGGCGGCGGCTCCGGCGCGGGAGGGAACCGTCCCCTGCTTTAATTTATTTATTTATTAATCACCCTCCGGCCGGGCTCTGCTGGGGCAGCTCTCGCCCCTCCTGAGCCCCCCGCTGCCCTGCGTGGGGATGGCACCACCATTGGCACCACCAGCACCACCGGGCATTGAGGAGAACAAAGCTGCCGCTTGCCACAGGTGCTGGCTCTGGTGCTGCTGGCGCTGTGGTGATGCTTGTTCCTGTGCTGCACTGGTGCCCAGAGCTCTCCCACGGTAGCTGGCGGAGCCAGAGTCTTGGGGGGGCTCCAGTTGGGGTGTCTCCAGTTGGGGCTCTCAGGTTTTGACGCAGCAGCGAGGGCTCTCTGGGCACCACAGTGCCTTTGGCCCGGCCCCAGCACTTAACCTGAGGGTGCCAATGGCTCTGACCGGGACATGCATCTCCATCTCATGGATGCGGTTAGGCCTGGCACGTCCGTACCCCGCGTAGCACTTAGGGACAGTGCCGTGGCAGAGCTGGGGGCACTGGGATGTGCAGCACTTGTCCCTGCCTCCACCGAGCCCAAAGCGCTCCCGAGGACATGGCGATGGCCCCATGGTGCCAAGCCCCAGCTGTGCCCAAGCACTTAAGTGTTGATGCCACTGGCAATGCTGGCCTTGCTGTAGTGTCACCATGGCTCCAGCATCAGCTCCCCAGATCTGTATGAGAGGGGATGGGAATGGGAGAACTGGCCCCCCCCGGGGAGCTGAGGGGTGTCCGGCAGGTTCCCTCCCATTGACACAGTGGTGGTGCTCCCCGTGGTGACACGCTGGGGACAAGGTGCTGGGTTGCCTCCGTTGCCCCTCAGTGCTTCGGGGGCTGCATCCTCTGGTCCAGATCATGAGAGATCATCCAGCCCCAGCCACGACTGCTCTGCTTGGACATTGAAACCACACCAGACATGGCCAAGGAGGTGCTGGCTACGAGAAGCACAGTCCTGCCATTGCCAGCAATGGAGACAGGCCCCAGTGCCCACCAGGAATGGAGCCACATGGCAGGAAAGAGCTGGCATCCGCTTGGAAGGGACTGGAAAGGGCACGGAGCTGCCTGGGCTGTGGGATCTTCCTCCTGAGTTGAGGGAGCCATGGCCTGGCCAAGATCCTGCTGGGGTCTGGTTGGGATCAACCCACAGCCTTCCCCCCAACCATCACCAGCTGCTGGAGCCCGGGGGGACCCCAACTATGGGCATCATGCCTGGCTGGCTCTGGCCACTGTAGCAACCCCTGGCCTTTGAGCACCCAACACAGAGCCCAGGACCCAGAGCCCCACAGGGCCCTGGAAGAAGGATGGGGCCAGACGGGGTGCTGGGACCTGTCAACCCCTGGCACTGGCACCTCAGCCCCCTGGCACAGGCAGCACTGGGTCCCTGCCCGGGGGTGGCTGGGTGACTGCTGCCCCCGCCCTGTCACTCCATGGTTACTATGATTGTTATTATGATATGTTCTCCTTTCCCACCCTGGTCCCTTTTCCCCTAGTCCGGTCCTATGTTGGTCGCTCAGGGGAGGCCAGGATGTGGCCACCGGGACTGAAGGGGACACATGACCCAAAGGCCCCAGTGGCTGGGGGGTTTTAACCAAACACAGCACTTGGACATCAACACAAATAAAGAAATTAAAGAGAAATTAAAGAAAGACTAAAAGAATAAGAATAACCATCAATGAGTCCTGAGCTTCAGGACTGCAGTATCGCCCTTGGGAATGCCAAATGTTCCCAGTAAACCCCATGCACCAGGAGCTGGGAACCATCTGCACTATGAAACTTCGGGGCCGGGGCTGGTTGGGCACCATCTGGGCTGGGATGAGTCTGTGCCACTGCACCATGTCCCAAGGTAGGCATCACATCAGGTCCCATGGTCAGCACCACATACCAGGGTTGGGAGCAGATCGTGGGGCTCACACGAGATTCCAAGGCCAGCACTGGATGGTGATGTCAGCACTGGATCCCAGGCTTGGCACCATATCCCAGGGTCAGTGCAGATCCCTGGATTGCCAGTGCTGCATCCCCACTGGAGTGGCTCCATCCCCATGCACTGGTGCCGATGCCAGGATGGACCCTTGGCCACTTGCTGGGTCCCTGCGTGATGGCAGCTCCCGCCCCTGCATCCCTCGGGAGCTCCTGGCCTGATCTCCTCCACAAGCTTGGGAAATGGTTCCTGATGCTTCTCATTTTTCCCACGCTCCCAGCACCGGGTGATGAATGGGGCTGGAATCCAGCAGTGTTCCCATCTGCATGTCCCAGCCAGAGCCTCCAGACACACTGGTCCTCACCCTTCAGCTCCCAGAATACCCTCCCAACATTCTGAACCCACTCACCCCACAGTGCAGCCCCATGGGTGGCTTCACCATCCCAAAGCCTCAGCCCACCACTGTGAGATGGAGCAGATCCCCGAGGAGGGGACACACAGCACATGGCAGCACCAGCTCCGTCCCTCCTGCTGGCCTCTGCTTTCCCCCGTTGTAAAGTGGAGATTTACAAGTGGCCCCAAGTGCCAGAGGAGCCGGGATCAGAAGCAGCCTTTATGGAGCCTCATTAGGGGCTCCAGCTATGCTGGGAATGTCGCAGCTAATTACAGCCCTGGGGCAGGAGGGGACAGGGTGGGCTCCGGAGGGCTCATGGGGCTGGGAGCAAGGGAATGCTCCGGGACAAGGGACCAGACACAAGGATACGGCTCCTGCTCCGGATCAGCTGGGTTTCAGGCCCCACCACGGACACTGCCTGTGTCCCTGCTCCAGCTGAGATCCTCTGGGACACACTGAAATGCTGTTCCCCCCTTGTACCCCATCCCTGCACCCACCCTTACACCCACCCCTGGCAGTGTTCAAGGCCAGGTTGGATGGGACTTGGAGCAACCTGCTCTAGTAGGTGTCCCTGCCTGTGGCAGAGGTTGGAGCAGTGTGAGCTATAAGGTCCTTCCCAACTCAACCCAGGCTGGGATTTCATGACTTGGAGCCTGAGGATCCAGTGCCTGGAGACCAGCCTCGCCTTGGAGCAGTTTTATTATGAAATCAAGAACAAGAGGCCACAAATGTGAAACCAGCGGCGAGGAGCTCATGAGCCCATAGAAAATGCTTCGTACAAAACCCAACATAGAAACCCGATGGCACCTCAGGAATGTTCCCACATGGATTCGAGTCACACAGCAGCAACAGCCCCAGAGCTGCTTGTGGGGAAGGGGTAACTGAGGGCTTGCTCTGAGTCACTGGGTGACAATGGGAACCCAACAGAGGTGGTTTGAAGGCTTCTACATTAAAAAAATGGGATCTATTGCTTGTCGAGGACCAGGGATGAGCCTCCAGATGCTCCCCTCGTGCCCCCAGCACTGCTCTGCAGCACAGACAAGGTGAACATTGCACTGGGGAGAGGTTATGGTCAGAACTAAGAACCCTGAAGGGTCGGTATTGGGACAGGGGTGGGATTCCAGCCATGGCGCCCACCTGGAATCCCAGGCAGAGAGATGGCTGAGGACAGAAACGTGTCCCTGAGGACCCTGGGAAACCCCCATGGACCAGAGCGGGAAGAGGGTCCATTTGCAAACCATTTGCTCCAGCAGTTCCAGTTCTAGTTCCCATTGGCCTCACTGGGGAGGAACCAGCCACTGGCTGCATCCATGGCTGGAAACGGGAGAACAGCTGCTTGAGGAAACCCCCTCCCAGAGGCTGTGCCAGGGCAGGGGGGACGAAGCCACTCTGGGTACCGGCTGCTGAGGAGAGCCCCGGCACCGAGTCAGGAAGCGGGTTCTTCTTTCTGCTCAACTCTTCTTCACCTTTAACTTGGGAGCATAGGAAACCACTAAGGACACAATGGAACAACTATGGGGGATTCCCTGCCTACTCCTCACTAAAACCTTGAAGAACAGTGGGGGAATGTGAGGAAGGGGGAGCAAGGTTGAGGAGGAGGAGAGTGCAAGGCTCAGACGATCCCGAAGCGCTCCGCTCTTTTCCTCTTCTTTGCCTGCCAAGAGAAATGACAAGGGAAAAGCAGGAATCAGAACTAAGCAGATTCAACTGAGCAAATCCCACCCAGAACTCAATGGGAAACCATGAGGACTTTAGTGCTTGGGAATAACGCCGGTGCCAGCAGCTCTGGGAGCCCCAGGATTTGGGTCTAACATTGGGACAAAGAGTCCCCCTGAAGCGGGGCGACAGGAACAGGCACTGGGAAAGGGCTGGCCTGGGAACAAAGCGGCTTCAGAGGCCGGGAAGCACGGGCAGGCAGTGGGGAGGTGGGAAATGGAAAAGGGCAAAGGGTTAACACTGCCCTATTCATGGGGAAGGTGAGAGGGACACACTAAAACACATTAAATACACTATGGCCTCGCTCTGCTTTGCCAGAAACGAGCGGCATATAAATCTTCATCTCTAGCAGGGGAAACAGCCCAGGAGCAGCAGAAGCCCCAGTCAAGGGTCTCTGGGGGAAAGGTGCATTTGAGTGCACACAATGCCAGTGAAAAGACCTTTTTGTTCCAGGCACAATCTCCGAGTGACCTAAGGAGAAGCATGGAATCTCTTGCCCGCCAGCCCCTGGCGCAGGCTGGGAATGCCTTGCTGTCGTAAACCCAGGCCAGCTCCACATGCCAAGCACCTCAAATCCCATTGGAAGTGTTGAGGTGGCTCTTAGTAACCCTGTTCACCTCTACTGAGCCCATCTGGGTGCAGACACGGAGAGGCCCCAGCCTGGGGGAGTCCAATTGTCCATATTTATGTGGTGTTCCCAACCCAGCCTTATCAAGAGCCGCTGCACTGGAGCTCTGGCAACCAGGAGCAGTCTGAAGCTGCCCTTAGCAGGTTTTACCTCTGTGTCCTCTGTGGCTCCAGCTCCAGCTGAACTCGTCACAATGCCAAACCGCTCCTTCCTCTTCTTCAGCTTCTCGTCCTCTTCACTCTGGCACAAAGAAGGACCAAGGTTTAGGGTGCTAGCAGTGCCCAGGCTGCTTGTTGCGTGGGGAATCCTGTTCCTCCTGCCCCCATTTGCAACCAAAGCCCCAGCACAACCTCCTCAAGACATGTCTTGCACCCCCAGGGCACTGTGGTCTATCTGCTTGGAATCCCCCCCCCCCCCCCCCCGAGCACTAGTGAGGGTGGCAGGAAAAGGACAGGAAGGAAAAAGGAGACCCCCCCCCCTGCATCCAGCTCAGGGGTGACACAAGAGGGACATGGAGCTGTTGGAGTGAGGCCAGAGGCCATGGAGATGCTGCGAGGGCTGGAGCAGCTCTGCTCTGAAGCCAGGCTGAGAGAGCTGGGCTGGGTCAGCCTGGAGAAGGCTCCTTAAGGGGAGACCTTAGAGCAGCTCCAGTGCCTGAAGGGGCTGCAGGAAACCTGGAGAGGGGCTTTGGAGAAGGGCCTGTAGAGACAGCACAAGGGGAATGGCTTTAACCTGCCAGAAGGGAGACTGAGATGAGCTCTTGGTCAAGAGCTCTTCCTTCCCTGTGAGGGTGCTGAGGCGCTGGCACAGGATGCCCAGAGGAGCTGTGGCTGCCCCATCCCTGGCAGTGCTCAGGAGGATGCGTGGCTCCTGGGGGGGCTGCGGGGTTATTTCCCTTTGGGGTCCCCCCCCGCTCCAGCAACACAGCCCCAGCAAGTTCTCACTTGACCCCTTGTGTGCCCGTGTCAGCCGCCAACACGGGTACAATGAACTTCACTCCATCCCCAGGCTCACGCTGACAGCGCTTGATTCATGTGGTGCTGGAAACCAGCTGAGGACAATGACCCCTCTCCCCCCACGCTGCATCCATCAGGCCTGGCAGCGCTCAGGGCTGTGGGAAAGCTGCCCTGGCTGCTGGGGGGGCACATTTAGCCCCAAACCTTGCCTCTTCTCACCTTGTTCCCTTCACCCTCGCTCCACAATGGGTGTTTGTGGGGTTTGTCTAGAAAGGGGGTGAAGGAAAGAGGAGGGGAACAAACCCTCCTGAAGGAGCCACTGCTGGAGGTGAAGCCTTTCCTGCAATGCAGGAAAACAACTGGGTGCTCCCACAAGCTGTGTGTGAGCCCTGTGGGACCATGGGGGTCAATAACAGCACCCACCACCATGGGAATACCTCGGGATCTGCTGTTTCTCTCAGAGACCATGGAATGGGTTGGAAGGGATCTTAAAGCTCCTCCAGCTCCAATCCCTGCCACGGGCAGGGACACCTTCCACTAGAGCAGCTTGCTCCAAGCCCCTGTGTCCAGCTTGGCCTTGAACACTGCCCGGGATGGGGCAGTGACAGCTTCTCTGGGCACCCTGTGCCAGCGTCTCAGCACCCTCACAGGGAAGAGCTTCTGCCTAAGAGCCCATCGCAATCTCCCCTCTGGCAGGTTAAAGCCATTCCCCTTGGCCTGTCCCTACAGGCCCTTGTCCAAAGCCCCTCTCCAGGTCTCTTGCAGCCGCTGTAGACACTGGTAGCTGCTTATTCCCAACAGATCCATTCAAACCCTGGATCCTGCCTCTCTCCTGGGGTCAGACTCAGGCACTGAGGCTGGTGCCAGAGGTGTTAATGCCAAAAGGCATTAATTGTGGTTTTCATGGTGAACAGCAGGGCTCTGGCACCCACGGCGCCGATCTGGCTCCAGCACAGCTCCAGCACCACTGTTCACCTCCGCACCCCACACACAACCTCAGTGACAGAGCTCAGCGTCAATGCTCTGCTTGACTCAGGACCACACTTGGATGGAGGGGAAGTGCCCAGAGGGTGGACAAAAGTTGATGCCAGGTTATCAAAAGGCATCTCTCATGTGTGGTGCTGGGGCAGAAGCAGGACAGACTTCTCAGAACCATTCACCATGTGAGGCAGAGCTCTGAGAGTCCCCATGGGAGACCAAGCTCCATGTTGTGCCGCATGGCAGATCCTCTGCAGATGAAAGCATCCCCAGAAGGACACGGCCCCGGGTTTGCAGCTGAAGCCCAGCTCCTCATCCCGAATGCAGATGCACACACGAGCCTCCATATCCATGTCTTTGGAAGGAAAAGGGTGGGCGCCTGCATGTGCGGGTGCAGCCAGAGCCTTCTGGTGGCCCATCCATGGCCGGCTGCAGCATGACGGATGGCAGGATGAAAAGCAGAGCCCCGAGGCTTTCAGGCATCAGGAGATTAATGACGACACGGCCTTGACCTCCCAAAGGTAAAGGTTATGGAACACTCAAGGGCAAGCAGCCTCCTCTCTATGTCCGGGGCTGAGTGACAGCCTCGCATGGGTTGGGATGTGCAGCTGCATTCGCCGTCTTTGTGCGCTCCCCTTGCAGCTCCTGGGACACCTGGAGCTGCTCCATGTGTACCTGCCTCTCCCATGGTGGGTCCTCACTCACGCCCCAGGACAGGAGCCCTGTCCGTTCCTCCCAAAGCCACACAAAGCTGAGCCAGCACCGCTCCAACAGCACCACAGGCTTCCAGCCAGGATGTGGAGCTGGGCCCATGCGATACGCACTGGGACTAAGTCACCACCATCCTCCAAGCGACTCCAACACAAGGACGCTGCTCAGGTGAGACACACCCAGTGATAAACCCTTCTGCTTCTGGGAGCACTGGGATGAGCCTTGTGCAAGGGGAGACCCTGGCACAAGTAATGGAAGATCTTGATCTACACAAGGCAATGGGAACCCTGAGAAGCTGCTGAAGGATTCTCGATGTCCTCTGAAGGAGGATGCTGAGGGACCACCTCTGCATGGTGCAGGATTGGTCCCTGGCTGCTTCCCTGGACATAGTCACCTTCTCTGCAACACAGGCCAAGGGAAACAGGCAGCCCTGAGCCAGCTCTGAGCCGCTTCTCCCAACACACATCTTGGAAAATGGGTTGGGAAGGCCAAATCCCACCCAACTGCAGTATTCTCCAGGGATGGTAGCTGCTGGTGCTGAGCTTTCTCTGGTTGGAGACCCCAGAGGGACTCTGTGGGGAGGAGGAACAGAAAGTTATGTTTGGGAGCAGGAAACGTGGCTCTCAGCGGGAGGAAGCAGAGTTAAAGCCACTTGGCAGGGCCAGAGTCCAGCTGCTCTGAGATGGGTGATGACAGAACATCACTGAATTGCACATGAGCCTCAGAACCACCCAAACCTAAATCAAGCCATTCTATTCAAGACCGAGGCGTGCAGCACCCCAGGGCAAGGTTAACCCTTCCCTTCGAGGCACCAGAATGAGCCCACAGGATACTGCTATGAGGAGATAAAGCTGAAGGAGTTGGTAGAACAAGAGAACTCTAAGGGAAAAATGTGGGCGCTGCAAGTGCCGTGGGGCACAGTGGAGAGGACACCAGAGACACAGACACTTATTCCCACAGGAATGGTTGGAGTGGGAAGCTCTGAAGCAGCAACAGAAGAGTGATGTGGAGATGCTGGAGCGAGGCCAGAAGATGCAACGGAGCTGCTGCAAGGGCTGGAGGAGCTCTGCTCTGGAGCCAGGCTGAGAGAGCTGGGCTGGTTCAGCCTGGAGAAGGCTCCTTAAGGGGAGACCTTAGAGCAGCTCCAGTGCCTAAAGGGGCTACAGGAAACCTGGAGAGGGGCTTTGGAGAAGGGCCTGCAGGGACAAGACAAGGGGAATGGCTTTAACCTGCCAGAGGGGAGACTGAGATGAGCTCTTAGGCAGTTCTTCCTTCCCTGTGAGGGTGCTGAGGCGCTGGCACAGGGTGCCCAGGGAAGGTATGGCTGCCCCATCCCTGGCAGTGTTTGCTGGACAGGGCTTGGAGCACCCTGCTCTAGTGGAAGGTGTCCCTGTCCACAGCCGGGGTTGGAGCTGGAGGAAAGTTAAGGTCCCTTCCAACCCAAACCAGGCTGCGATTTTACACTGTGATTCCTGACTCGGTACCACATCCCTGCAGAGCCCAGCGCTGCCGGTGGGTGCGAACCCATCAAGTCTTCCAAGAGTCGTTCCAATTCTCCAAAGATGATTTACTGGGACAGGAGGGCTCCTGCCTGGCCACGCACTCCCCCTGTGCCCCACGAGTGCCGTCACTTTTGTCTCCCCTGCTGGAGCAGCGGTAAGGGGAAACCTGACTTTGTTCCTCAGGCCTGGAGGGAGCTGGTGCTCCCGTTCCCATTCTTCCCCAGCCTCTCCTCCAAATTCCTGCAGCCAAATGGTTCCCGAGCCCCTGAATGGGACATAATGACATCATTGATTGACTCAGAAGGGGGGGGGGGGGGGGGGGCGGGGAAAAGATGTATTTGTGTTAGGGACAAAAGCGAAGTTCTGTTTCACAGCGGGGCCAGTGCAGGACCATCCGCGTGGGCAGAGGGAGGTCAGTGTCCCCCAGGAGCTCTACCCGGGACACAGGGCTCCCTGGATACCACCACGGGGTTATCTCCAAGTGAAGACACCACCCAGCAAGCACCGGGAAGAGAACGGAAGCCACAGCTTTATCTGCTGCAGGAGGGTGTCAGCATGTTCTCATGTGCCCAACCACAAGGTTCTGGGCTTGCAGCACCACCGTGGTAAAGCCCCTGCTGTGGCCAGTGCTATTCTTCACCTTGTCACTTCCCATTATCCCAAAGCAACAGCCCACAGCCAGCAGCTCCACTAGGGAAAGGGGACATGGCGCTGCAGGGGCTGTGGACATGCTGCAGCACCCAACTACAGTGAGCCCATGCCCTGCACAGGGTTCCCGCCTGGTGCTGTAAAGCTCCTTGCAGCCAAGGTGAGGGGGGATTCTCCCCCTCTGCTCTGGTGGGATCCGTCCAGAGAGCTGGGCTCTCCTCAGGGGTGTTGGGAATGGAAGAGGACTGATCCAGAAGCAGTTGTCAGGAGCTTGCTGGAAGGCAAACAATTCAGCTGATTGTTTCCCTGCTCTCATTTAGCTGTTTTGTACACAAGGGCTCTGCTGGTCCAGTGCCCCCAAGCTCCTCCACCACCTCCCAACAGCAGCTCCATGGATCTCACATCCTCATTAACCAGGATTCAACTGGCATGAAGCTGCCAGCAGGGCTGGCGGAGAACCTTAACTCCTCCTGGAGTCGGTGGCTCAAGGGGACACTTGAGGGTCCCATGCTGCTGCTTGGGACACAGCATCCTTTGTTCCCCACCCCAAGCTCCAAGGGCTCCAAGTGGGATTCCTGGCCCAGAGCGACCTGGGAGCAGAGTCACCTCCTGCTCCCGATCAGAGTGGCCAGGGGTTAATCTGCTAATTGCTCCTTAGGCTCCACTAAAGAGGAGAGGAAGAGCCAATTACTTCACTCATCTGCTGGCTGGTGAAAGGTGTTTGCTAATGGAACACAAAGGTGGCCAGTGGAGCTTTTGTGTCAGGCCAAGGCCTCCTGCTGCCCGGTGGATGCCAGCAGTTCCCAGTAGGAGACTTCCAATGGGCAAAGCACCCACAGCAGCTCCCTCAACAGCATCAACCCAAGGAGCAGCTGATAGAGAGGGACCATTCACAGACGCTGGGGGGGGTTAAGTACAAGGAACAGGAGTCAAAGGGTGGTGATGGGAGGGCAGCATGCGGATGCTGGAACATGAAGCCGAAGGGGAGAGGAACCCTCACTTGATTTAGCTTAGAGATGCAGTTAATGGCCCCACGGCGCCTGGAGACAAGGGAGCACCTGCCTCCCACATCCCCATCCCATCCCTATCCCATCCTGAATCCCTTTGGAAAGGGCACTTTCAACTTGAAAGACTCCCAGCCCAGGGTGCTGATGGGGAGAGGGGGGGCTCCAAGCTCCACAGGAGTTCACAGGCACTGAAATCCTCCCCCTCCCCTTCCCATTCCCGCTGCATGGATCCAGGAGCAGCTCCACAGGGACAATGGCTGATTGTAAAGTTGGGGCTGGAGGAAGACCTGCCGAGACGCGTGTAAAGAGCATTGGGCTCCCACAGGCTGAGCAGCCATAAAGAACACCCAGGTGGGAAGCACAATGCCAGCAGCTAATTAAAGTGCCCAGGCACATTCCTGCTGGGAATGCGGGAGCGTGTTCTGCTCAGTGGGAAAAGCCACTTGGAAGCCCATGAACTCAGCTTCCTGGGGGAGCAAACAAAAAGGAGTCATGGGGAGGTGAGGCCAAGGGGGGACAAAACCCATGCTGGATCATCTGAAGCCTGAAGCCACCAACTCCTGACCCTGGGCCAGGAGCTCCCAGTGAGGAACTGGTTTGGGAACACGGCCCAGGCTGGGAAGCTGATTCCTTCTGTAAGTGCCATGTGGCTTTTTTAAGCTTTAGCCCCACAGTCCTGCAGCTCGGGAAGGCCACGGCCATAAGGGCTGCCAAGGAATTGATTTCTCCTGAAAAATGGAAGCTTCCAGGGATGGTGTTAATGGTGCTGGAGCAGCCTCTCGCCCTCAGCTCCACACATCCTGGCTTTAATGGCTCCCTCCCCCACTCCCAGAGGCCAGGAGCCAAGGGGGGAAGAGTAACCTCCAACGCCAGAGGTGTTCTCCATGTGGATGTCCAGAGCCAGAGAAATAACACTTGGATGTGGGGAACTAGCAAAACAGGTCAAATCCCACCCCACCCCCCCAACCCCCAGGAGGACTGGAGCTTATTTCACAGGGATGGAGGAGGATGAACTTCCCCTGCTCTCACCCACACCAAGCGGAGAGGTCTCCATGCCAACAACATCCAGCTCTTCCCGCAGGACAAGCTCCTTTTATCAGTACTGGATCAGCAGGCAGGGGAGGGAAGGGCTGGGAGGGGTTCGTTTGGGAAGCACAGAGGGCACTGGATCCACGTCAGATCGACTGACTCCTTCTACATCCTCAATTCATCCTGTTTGCTACAAAACAGAGGAGAGGGATCCCAGGGATCCCATTCATCTCCAGTGGAGCTCCCTGGCTCCATTGCCACCCTAGGGCTGAGCTCCAGCAGGAGCTGCTTTGAGAACCAGAGGGGGGTTATGCTCAGAGCTGGGGGACAGTTCTCCCCCCGGAAAAAAATCAGTGGTTTTGGAAGCAAATCCATTTCCTGCAAAGCCCATCTCACCTCTACTTCAAAGAGTTATTCCGTATCATCTCCAGTGGGAGATGCCCCAAACCCGCTGCATGGCGCCTCTGTCCAGCCAAAACCAGGGAGAACAACTGGGAAGCTCTACAGCTCCAGCAGGAGACACAGGCACAATGGAATGGAAGGAACCAGCACTGGGATAGGAGATGGAGAACCTCAAGCAGCACCTCCAGGTGCTCTGAAGGTGCAGAGTGTCCTGGACTTACCTTCTTGGAGAGTGAGGAGACGTTCAACCCAAACCTCTGAGCCCTTTCCTTCAACTTATCCATGTTTACCTGCAAAGACACAGGAAACAAGTTACCTTTCTCTTCTAAACCTACCAGCACTCAGGTTCCAGAGGGAGCTTCCTGTGCCAGCCCTTATCCCTAGAGAACACAGGCTTCCAGGGATAAGCCCTCCCCAGCCTGTGCTGCTCATGGTACTGCTCTGCAAAATCTCCAGCACTGGCACAACAACATGGTGGCTACCACATCTTGGCTCAACTATGTGCCCTTGTCCGCAGCCGAGGAGTGTGGAAATAGGAGAGTGACACCCATGCTCCCAGGGGATGGGGACCTCTCTTTCAACACATGCCAAGGGCCAGCAGCAACTCAAGGACAAGAAAATTCCTTACCGTGGGTTTGCTGTCTGAGGAGAGGCCTGAAAAGAAGAGACAAGAAAAGGGAAAACCCAATTAGAGAACAATCATCAGGAGCAGGATCTTACCCACAAGGAGGCACAGGAAAAGTCCCACCAGGGACTCAGGAACTGCTTTTCCCACTTTCTCTCTGTGTTCCCAACACAATGAGTCTCCCAGTTCCTATTCCAGCATCTCCACTCACAATCTGTCACTGTCCCACCTCGCTAAGACACTGGCAATGGGACCTGGTCATTTATGAAGCCACAGGATGCTGCTTGAGAACCCCACGTGTCCTCCAGCTGGGCTTGGAATGGGGACACACTGAGGGAAAATGTCTTAACTACCAAGGGAATGACGTGTGGCCTCACTTCCTCATCCCACAGTGCCCACTTGGAACTCCTGGGCAGGAAAAGGGAGTGTTTAAACCCAGGGTTATCCCACCAGCACTGTTCTGCCCCCAGTAACAACTGCACCAGAGAACTCCAGCAACTGGTTCTGCTTCACCCCCTCACCTTTAGTGGACACCATGGCCAAACCAAACCTGCCAAAGGCAAACAAGAGCTGTCAGAGCAGGGTCAGCCCCAGAACCCTCCCTGCAAGTGTTTCCCATGAGGAAAACTGGGTTAGGGGCAAGACCAACTGGGACCCAGCAGTCCTGGCTACAGGCAGCACTGCAGCAATTCCAACTTAACTCCAACCCGCCCCTCCCCCCCCCCTCCCGCCATACAGGAACAGCAGTGGGATCACTGGCAAATCTCCATTCCCTTGCTGGAGTCCCAACACCCAACACCCCCAACCACTGGTGGCTAGGGAAGATTGGGAGCACCCACCGTACTGCCCGCGCTGCCTTCTTGCTCTCCAGGCTGACAGGTACGTTGAAGCGCTCAGCTCTCTTCTGCATGCGCTGGAGGGAGAGAAAGGAACCACCTGAGGAGGAGCCACTACAGGCAGGGGCTGGGGAGGTTCTGCAGGTGGAGGAGGCCAAGTCAACACCCCAATGGGTGCTGCTGGACTGGCAACGCAGAGGCTGAAATGGGGGAACTCTCCTTTGCACCCCCAGGTGATGGCAGAGATGCTGCAGGGACCTTCTCCCCACCAAGAGCCACCCCAGGGCTGGGGCTTGACCAAAAGGAGCTTTAATAAACATCAACCTAATAACAACTGAGAGGCAAAGAGGGTTTTCCTTCTTTCCCTTCCTTCTCTCTTAAAGGCTGAAGGAATATACTGGGAAAGGGGATGGGGGTATTGACTGGCTTGGCCTTGAGAACCAAGTTTAGCCTTAGTGCTGTAATTTTGGCTTTGGAGAAAGCCCCAGGTGAGGGGGAGAAAGGAAAAGCTTGGAAGCTTTGGAAGCTCAAGGGTTTGCATCTCCGAGTGTTAAATCCCCTTAAAGGCTTAAGGGAAATAGTTCACATTTCATTCCGAGCCAAGGGCCCAGCAGCGTGTTTGGGGTTAGAGAAACAGAGCTTAGTAATGGAAACATTGACTTTAGCCACGAGCCCAGCAAGGAGTAGGACAAACATCCCCATTGGAATGGCAGCGCTTGGAAAAGACGGAGCAGGACCAGGGCTCCCACCCTGCAGCACCAGCCGGGACAGGAGAATGTAGCACCCAGATCCCAGTTTCCTTATTCTTTGGGACACAGTGAAGAATATCCCTGAGGAATACCTGAAGGGGCAGCAAAGGCTGTGACCATGGATCACAGAATCATGGAATGGGTTGGATCGGAAAAGGACCTTAAAGCTCCTCCAGCTTCAACCCCTGCCACAGGCAGGGACACCTTCCACTAGAGCAGGCTGCTCCAAGCCCAGTCCAGCCTGGCCTTGAACACTGCCAGGGATGGGACCCCCCCCCCCCCCAGCACCCCCTTTGCCAAGCCCTGGGGCTGATCCACACTCAGCAGCAAACCCAAGCCTGGGAGCAGCTTGGACAGGGTTTGGAGCACACCCAAGAGTCCAGTGGGAGCTCTTGCCCTGAGGGCAGCACCACAGGGGCCACGGAGCTTCATCTACCCCCCCCCCAGCCCGGCCGTGGTCTCCCCCCTGCTCCCTCCTAATCCTCTGCTTGTGACATCCTGTTGCCGTGGAAATGGTCGTGGCCCAAAGAGGAGATGAAAAGGCTCTGCGTGGTGCTGAGCAGCAGGGAGCCCAAACCTGTGTTTGCACAGGGAACAGGAGCCAGCAAGGGGGGGGACTGGAGAACCACAGGCAGGCTCCCTGAACTCCAAATTTTCCCAGAGAAATTGCTGCTTGCTTGCAATGGCAAAGGCAGGGCAGATGATGGAATGATCCCTCAGCTCAGAGTGGATCCCCCTCCTCAAGTGGATCCTTACCAAAGCTTTGTGGCTGCAGTGAGCCCAGAGAGGGAATAACAGCCTGGAATGACTGGAATTGTGATGCTGAGATACTGAAGAAGGGTCACGGGACTGGTGGTGGAAAGAGGAGTTAAGTACAACAGAGAGGAACATTCCCCAAGAGCTAAAGGAACCTGCTGCAGGGTCCCTCACAGCCAGCAGCACCACAATCCCAAGGGAAAAGAGAGCAGGTTTCCTATGGGAATGCTGACACTGCCTCAGCTACACCCAGCAGATGGAGGAAGTGAGGATGGGAACTGAGAGCAGAGGAGGAGAGACCTCACCTCCATCTGTGAGATCACCGACGTGATCTTCACCACCTTCTTCTCCGCGATCCTGCAGAGATGGGAGAGAAACAGGTCACAATGGGTCCTCCTCCCACCCAGCACCACCACCAGCACCCTCGACCCAGGGCTGAGCATCCCGATGCCACTGTGAAAGGTGAGCCATGGAGCATGGTGAGCCCCATCAGTACCTCAAGTGCTCCCAAATCCCTCTGCCAAAAGGAAGAAGGGACAAGTCACCGGACCCAGCTGTGCTCATCATTCTTTAATGCAGGAATGGTCTGAATCAACCAGGCTGGAAGAGCTTTAAGGTCATCCAATCCAACCATTCCGAGCACTGCTAAGACCACCACTAACCCATGGCACTGAGGGGTTCACTACACCGTGTGTGAGCACTTCCAGGGATGGTGACTCCACTACTGTCCTGTTCCAATGGGGAAGGACTTGTTCCTCATCTCCACCTAACCCACCCCTGGCACAGCTTAAGGCCCTTTCCTCTTGTCTCATCCTTTGGGAGCAGTGACCTGGCCCCATCCTTCTGTCAGAGCATGCGGAGCGATCAGGTCCCCCCTGCTCTGAGGTTCTGGGGTTCAGGGGGGTCTCTCCAGCCTTGGGCTCCAACGGGGAACACTCAGCTCTGGAGCCCCCTTTGGAGCCCTCCCATACAAAGGCTTCTTGTGTTCCAGTTCCACGGCAGCAGCAGCCACACACAAAGCCCCAGGGCCGGCAGAATGGAGGGGGCGTGCTCCAGAGCTCTGCTCCCAAAACACAGCCTGGGCTCCGGGGGGAACAAAAGAAAAAGAGACAACATTGAGAAGTCCTCCTCCTCCTGCTGCTGCCAACAGCTCCCATCGCACACCACCCACCGGGCTGGGAGCTCCCGGCTTTTGTTCCAGCCCCGCGCAGGATCCCGCTGGATGCCCGAGAGGGGAGGGATGGGTTCATGGCACTGCCACAGGAAGCGATTCTGCCGGGACGGGGGCTCCCGGGGCTGCGGCTCCGCGGGCTCAGGACGCCCCCTTCTGCCCGCACCACGATCGGCCTCACCACGGCTCAATGAGGGTGAGCTGGGGCTCACTGCAGCTCACTGGGGCTCCCCCAATCCCCTTAGCCACGCAGAGCAGGGCAGTCAGACACACCGAGCGCCCACCAGCCTCCAGAATCCAGCACAGGACTGCATCCCGCTGGAATTGCGCCCCACTTCCAGCCCCCCCCCCCCCCCCCCCCCCCCCCGAGCCCTTCCAGGCCCGACTTGGCTTTCTGCTGCTCAGAGGGATAGTTACACATCAGGCGAGTTTACAGGAGGCTCCTCAGCTTTGACCGGAGGCTCCACCGGCTTCTGCTCCTCCTCCTGCAGGGAAAAGGCAGGAATGGCAACAGCCAAGAATGGAGCAGCCCGAGGCCAGACACAGGCCCCTGTCTGGAATCCAGCGCCCCCAGATCAAGGCTTCTAGGGCTGGGTGTTGAACGTGCCCCACAACGAGAAGAGATCTGTGCTGGCCATGAGCTGGACAGCCACAGGTTCTGCTCCTCCTCACCACCACCTCTCCTGGTTCCCAGCCCCTCAGCATGGACTCACCTCTATTTCTTCTCCTAGGACATCTTCTTCATTTGCCTCTTCTTCAGCTGGAGGACAAAAGAACAGGAGTGAGTGACAGCATTGACACCTCTGGCTTCCCACGTGGAGCCTGGGATGAGAATGGGAAAACGGCAAGCAAAGGCTCTGATCATGGATCACAGAAGCATGGAATGGTTTGGGGCAGAAAAGGACCTTAAAGCTCCTCCAGTTCCATGGGCAGGGACACCTTCCATTAGAGTAGCTTGCTTCAACCTAGCCTCGAAAGGATGGAGCACCCAAACCTTCTCCATTGAGGCCATTCCAGTGTCTACCACCCTCACAAGGAAGAACTTCTGACCAAGATCCCACCTCGATCTCCCCTCTGGCAGGTTAAAGCCATTCCCCTTGTCCTGTTCCTACAAGCCCTTGTATAAAACCTCTCTCCAGATCTCCTGCAGCCCCTTTAGGTCCTGCAGCTGCTCTAAGGCCCATTTTGTATCGGGACCCGAGTTGGACACAGGCCTGCGGCAGAGAGGGGGATGTCCGGAGCCTCTTTTCACCCCACACCCCAAGCCCTTGTTCCCCGGCCCCGGCGGGCACCCACCGTGCTCCTCCAGGTAAGCCTGCAGCCGGTTGATCAGGTCCTGCTTGTTGCCCTTCGCCTCCAGGCCGCGGGCCAGGCACTCCTGCTTCAGCTCCGCCAGCTGCGAGGCGAGAGGCGCCACTCAGCATGGACCGAGCACCGCACCCACCGAGGGCTCCGGCCTCGGCCTGCCCGAGACCCCCCATGCCCGCCCAGGACATCCGGTCCCAGGAGCTACCGCTACCTTCAGCTTGTGCAGCTCCACCGCCTCTGCCGCCATCTTGTCACCCGCACAGCCCGCGCCGGCCCCGCCCCACGGCCCGACTCTAGCCCAATCACAGCTGGCGATTTCAAAGCACTACCCCACACCGCCTCTCGCCACTGGCAGGGCCTTCCGCCCCGCTCTATTGGCCTGCTGTGGGGTGGAGCGAAGGGCAGAATGGCCAATAGCAATGAGAAAAAAGGCACATCAGCCAATGGGAAGAGGCAAGGGGCGGGCGTAGAGACTTCCTGCAGACGGGCACGGGCGGGCACCTGGCAACGGCCGCCGAGCTGCCGGGTGGGAGTTGGGGCCGGGAATGGGGGGTCAGGGGATCGGGACCGTGGGGGGCGAGGGGGGGGACACCTGGAGACCGGGACCGGGTAGGGAGTACGGAGAAAGCCGTAGCAGTGCCTGGGGCCGTACCTGTGGTCGGGGCTGCTAGACGAGGCTGGAGCCCCTGTGTCTCCGGTGCGGGACGAGGCTGGAGCTCCCCGTGTCCCCGGTGCAGGATGAACGTCGGCGTGGCTCACAGCGAGGTGAACCCCAACACGCGGGTGATAAACAGCAGAGGCATCTGGGTGGCCTACGGCATTTCAGTGGGCGTCCTGCACGTGGTGCTACTCAGCATCCCCTTCTTCAGCGTGCCCGTGGTCTGGACGCTCACCAACGTCATCCACAACCTGGTCAGGGCCAACTCTGCCCCATCTCCCCAGGGCAGCCCCTGACTCCGTGGGATGCCGGGGGCTCAGCATTTCCCTGCTTCACCCCCACAGGTCATGTACATGTTGCTGCATGCCGTGAAGGGAATGCCCTTCGAGACTCCAGACCAGGGCAAGGACCGGCTCCTTCACACACTGGGAGCAGATAGACTACGGAATGCAGTGCACGGCGGCAAGCAAATTCCTCAGCATTTCCCCCGTGGTGCTATGAGTGCTGCTTACCTGGGCAGGATAGTGCTGGGCGAGCCTGGGCCAAGGGCCCTTTTCCCAGCACAAGGGGGATGTTGGAAGCTATTCCCCTGTGAGGGTGCTGAGGTGCTGGCACAGGGTGCCCACAGAAGCTGTGGCTGCCCCATCCCTGGCAGTGTTCTAGGCCAGGTTGGACACAGGGGCTTGGAGCTCTAGTGGAAGGTGTCCCCA